GCACTGTGTAAACAATGAGTGACGTATACGCGCGAGAGATCACTTCCGGCGCTTGCATAAACTACGCCAGAGCGCGTACACACCTCACGCACCGGATGCCGTGTTGCACTATGTCCAACTGTGCGAAGACAGTTGGACATAGTGGTGTATTAGAGGTAAAAAATGAACTGTTCGCTGTTCGGTTTCTCGCACAAACCGATCGTTTCGTGTCTTAGGACATCAATGTGTTGTCACAGGGTTTAATCTCATAGATTTTGTTACCATTGCCATGCATTATACGACTGATAGACTGCAACGGTTAAAGTTAAAAATCATCATTTGTATTCTACTGAAGAAACAAAGTCACCTACATCTTGGATGCCCTGGGGGTAAGCAGATAAACATCAAAGTTTCATTTTTGGGTGAACTATCCCTTTAAATTATGTTTCAATGTAGAAATCTTAATGAACAGGCTACACTTGCCTTAAGAAAAATATAATTCTTATTTAGTTCTCGATGGACTTTGTGAGAGTCAGAATACAATATATTTGCTTTACTATAGTGTTTCAGGGTGTCATGTTATTTCGTGAGGTTTATTTTTCTAAGTGTGTGTGTTTGTCCATTAGGGCGTTATTTCAGCAGTACGGTCTGAAATACACAGCCGTCATCCCCACCAACATGTTTGGAGCCCATGACAATTACAACATTGAGGACGGTCATGTGATGCCGGGGTTGATCCACAAGACGTACCTGGCAAAGAGTGAGAGACATTTAACTCACAATCACCCTATTGGACGTTTCCTATCAGATGTCAATTAGACATTTAGAAGATGTCTTTAAGATGTTTATGATTTAGAATGCATGTAAATCTGACATCTTAAAGACGTCTATCAGATGTTTGTACACAGCAGATGCTTTCCAGATGAAGCGACCTTTAACAGACATCTCGTAGACGTATGTGTGCTATCTGGGCACATTCAGAGCATCCACAAGTTTTAATATGCAATGGATTATCAAAATTAAAACAACACGAACATAATATTTTCATGAAATTATTATTATTATTAACAATGTAAGGAAAAAGGGGGAAAAAAGATAGTTTTCATTGTTTTTGACTCATGTAACCTTGCATTTTAATTAATGATGTTATATAAAGACAAGTAAACAGTAATAAATGAACAAATGGCCATGATCATGATTATCAATATTATCATGGTGTTGTTAAAATGTGTTGGAAATGTTCAAAAAGTACTCATATACAGTACACAATGAAGGCCATTTTGACTTAATTTTGAGTGTATTTGGCCATTCAAGCGTGAAAAGAAAAGAGATCTCAGTTCTGTAATGGTGCACTGTCAGAGACGCGGCTCTCTGTGTGCGCGCACAGAAACCATCGCTCGAGTGCCGAATTTAGTTCTCTTTCGTGATTTCTTGCGCTTGAACGGTTTCAAATCTTTTGAATGCTTAAATTGGCAAAACTTAAAAACACATGCATATGATAAACTTTCGTGACGAGTCAAAAATAAAGCATTAAAGGCACAATATGTAAGATTTTTTAATTAAAATATCCAAAAACTACTACAACAGTGTTATATATTTTGCTGACTTGTGTACTTACATTATCCCAAATGTTTCGAAGAATGTTTAAATACAGAGAAATTAGCAATTTTAACTAGCGACACGGAGCGTGTCTATAGTGTCATTGTGTCGCCTGCCAATGACGTCATAACCCCTCGATTTCCGTTGTTTTGTAGAAAATATGGAAACAACAAAGACGCTTTAATATGCTATGTGTTTTATTAGACTGGTGACGACCGCACAGAGTAGCATTATAACAGAACTAAATGTATCTAGTATGATAAAACAGTGCTGCTTTACCCCACATACGCACGACCGGAAGCAGCGGAAGCGCTCGACTGTGGCATAATAAAAGCTCCGCTGCT